CTATTCGTAGAACTTAAGTTACATTAAGTAACTATTAATTATACAAAAACAAGTATAACATCTCTTGTTTTAGCCTTAAAAGAAGCAAGTATAAAATCTCTAGCTTTAGCATTATGCAAAAACAAGTATAAAATCTTTAGCTTTAGCCTAAAAAGAAGCAAGTATAAAATCTATTGCTTTAGCATAATAAAGAATCAAGTCAAACATTTCTAGCTTTAGCGTAATAAAGAAACAGGTATAAAATCTCTTGCTTTAGCATACAATGAAGCAAATCTAAAATCTCCAACTTTAGCATAATGAAGGAGCAAGAATGAAGTACAAAATCTCTAACTTGAGCATGATAAGAAGTAATTCATTTCAACAGAAGTTTTTTTTTAGACCAACATCAATTGACTTATATGATTTTTGGGAGAATGATTGACTGATCTGACATATGGAATAGACAGTGTTGCATCACCGGCTACAGATCACTACAGGAATGAGGAGCACACAACAAAAGATAACTGAACAACAACTCTATACAAAAATGAAATCTCCAACTTTAGCATAATAAAGAAGAAAGTATTACATCTTTAGCTTTAGCCTAATGTAGAAGCAAATCTAAAATTCCTGGCTTGAGCATAATATAAAAGCAAGAATTACAGTAGAAATACTGCAGTGCATAAATATATAGTTGTATGTGTGTATCTGTAAAAGGTTAGCAGCATGAGGGTATGGGACAAAGTGACATACTGTATCTATTTATCTTAACTGCATCCTTTTTACAAATGTGTGCCTTAATTAGGTCAACACAATCTTAATAATTTGTCATGTTGGATTCTAAAACATGAAATTACAACAACACAAATAGATCTATACTAAAATCAAATCAAATCTCTAATTTAGGCTTAAAAAAGAGGCCAAAAAAAACAGTTGCAGTGTGATCATGCAGCTGCCTAAAATGTCTATAAGGAAATTTTATTTATTTATTTATTTCGAACCATGCATAATACACATTTTTACATATATCAATATAGCAGACAAATAGCTTTCCAACAAAAAGGAGTTGGATGAAGCAAATGCTTATTGGGTTCCAACCCCATCAGACAAAGTGTTTAACAATATCATGCAGTAGAATTCTTGAAAATACGACAATACATTACAAACAGTTATACAATACTACCACCGATGGTATAAGACAGACAACACTAAACACACACACACACACACACACAGGCCCAAACACACTCCGACCCTACACCTCTCACCCACTACTTGCTCTGTATTCTCAAGGCATCACTCTCTTACTTCCACATATTTGTTCAATAAATCTTTTTTAAATGAGAAAGGATATGTATGATTTATATGTATATTTATTTGAATAATCTTTCCTAAAGGTGTGGGTTAGGCCTCATGATTGGGTCAGTCTTTTCACATTCCAGACGTGTAGCTCGTTGCAACAGGAGCAAGTCAACATACAACTGGTTTGGTTACAATCACATAAAAGTGGCCATTTGGAGAGAGTGAGTTCAGATCCGGTTCAACCATAGACTGTAAAGGTTCAACAAATGATAGATTATGGGAAGATTTTATTGCTCATTTATAAATATTGGGGATAGCGTTATATTCTCTGTGGCAAGTGTAGCATATTTACAGTCTATGGTTTACACACAAACAGCCGAGGAGCTAGAAGCCAGAGCAGCAGCCTGTGCACACAAAGAACCCAAAATAACGACTCAAAGTGCCAAGCAAAACTAGATAGAGACAGTCACACACAGCATTAAAATCATGAATGAGTACAGGTAAAATCCCTCAATTATGCACCGGTAAAAATACGTGTTTTTAACCTGGATTTAAACATTGTCAGAGCCTGTCTCACCTTTTCAGGAAGACTGTTCCAGATTTTAACTGCATGAATCTGAAATGCAGCCTCCCCATGTTTGGTTCAAGTCTATTCTTTGAGCCACAGGAAGCCATTATTGTTGCGTTTTGGGCATTAAATATATATAATTATCCGCTCTCTCTTAGCAGACCTGAACCAAAATGTCCTGTTTCGAGCTGTTTCCAAAATTACAACTATAAACAATACATTTTGACTCGAATCCCTTTTCTTTTACAAGTTAATTTGTTGATGTTTGTGTGCAGATTCCTTAAGTCCAGACATGAGCCTGTCTCAGCTGACGGAGCCATAAACTGCGGCGATCCTTCAACAATACCGGGGATTAGAGGTTGGATCACCATCTGCTCTGTGAAGGCACGGGGCTTTCTCATTCAAAAACACAAACGCTCCCTGAGATTCTCCTCCTTACGTTTAAAGGCACTGAGTTGTGAAACTGATCTATGCATTATGTCTCTTGTATTAAGGGTTGACGTCATTTGAATCTTTTCCAGACTTTTGTCATTGTTTCCAGCTCAGAAAAATAAACAAGGATATTTAAAGGGTAACTATGATACCCTTTAAATCAATACAAAATATTACAGTCATTAAATTCATAAACTAATTAAACACAGCTCAGCAAATACAATGTTGTGATTTCAACAAGATTTACATTTTATTTAATTATCTATTTGATATGGGCACAACCGATACATTGGACGGCCTTTAGCTTTTTAGCAAGACCAGGCTAATTTTCTACACTTCAATATTTTAGGTCATAAAGACTCAGATTTCAATGATTAAAAAAGTTTATAGTAGGACATTTTCTCATATATTCACTATTCGCTTAAATTGCATTGTTATAGTGTCTATTAATTGATAATTTTCAGATTCAGATTCATTTATTTGCCATTTGCAGTAAAACCACATAGGAAAAACTGTGCAAGACTACCCCGGTGTGCACCTAATTATTTTGTTGGCAAGAGTTGTAAAAAGGTCATGCTTCCAACTCATCCAAGAATTGTGTTATTGATCAAAAAATTGTGTGTCAAAATGTCTAATTTGCTATGTGTAATTTTAAATACATTACTGCTGAAATATAATACTTTGCTAAAAATTACTATGTTTTAATAATTGTGAGGTTTTTATGTTTTTTTTCTAGTCCTTTCTAAACAGCTATACAGCCCTTCTCTACCCCTCCAACTTTTGCATGTTTTCTCACAACTGCTGTGGTTCTATAGCAAACTAGTTCTGTCTCTGTGTTTTCTCCTCTTCTGTTTGTCTGCTTGTGCATATTTGGTAAATTGTTGTGGATTTATGAAGAAATGAGCCGAGTGCAGGAACAAAGCCGTTGGCTCAGTCTGAATTATTAATGAGGAGGCTGAATGATAACCTCCTTTGTCATGTGATACAATGTGATGCAGACCTTGAGGAATTGATCTTTGCTTATGTTGTGTGCTTTTGTGTTTGAAGAATACACAAGCAAGTTCACCAAATGTATTTTTCAAAACCGATCGAACGAGTCTAGTCCTGAATGAGTCCGAATGTTCCATATTGTTAAGAGAGAATGGGGTGAATCTACTCTAAAAGTGCTGCAATACGGTTGACAATTTCTTATACAGTTCTGACTTTGCTATTACTGTTGTGTGCAAGCCAATATGTTTAGTTGCTCCCAGAAATTATATCATTAAAATTCTTTATTACTACATTGGCATTTCCCTTAAAAAAGGCCAACATGCTTCTGCACTGGGTCTTCATCAGGGCATTTTTTCTGATTATCATTATGTTTAGTGTTCATATTTTTGTTAACTAAAACTAAATCAATAAAAATGATGATACCTTAACACAAACCTTCAGTTCAAATCAAATCCATGTATTTTTTCATCGCCCAAAATCATAGCAGCAGCCAGTACCGAAATGGCCTCTCGGTACTATTGAGTTGCCAACAGCTCATTCAAAAATTTAGAATTGAGAATTACAACAAAAAACACATAAGAATTATTAGTCTGTTGGAGAATGGGCCAATTTCCATAAATGTTCATACATGTCCTGGATCAGCCCTTGTCCTCCTCTTGACCCTCCTGCATCAGCAAAAAAATAAAATAGAAATAAAACAGCGAACCCTGGAGAGAAAGGCACACACTCCCTTGAACTATAGCAGGTCTATGTAATTTTCGACCCAAGGCATAATCAGGAATTTCAAGCAATCTGATCTGGCTCATTTATTTTTTTAACAGACATGCCTTGCCTTGGTTTCATTCTTCGTTCGTTCAAATTCTTTCCCTATGTACCCAATCTATTACAATGTTGAATTTCAGCTAGCTATAGTTAGAGGTAGTTATTTAGTTGGATGCTAAACTAGTCCAGTCCTATGCAGGTTCAGTTTTTGTCTTTCAAAAGAACCACAAACAACATCTTACGTCTAATTATTCCCAAAAATCCCATCTACTTTAATGCTATAGCACTTTATATATTGACAAATACTGTCTAGACATAATTGTTGAACCATATCTAATGTCAATTGTGGTAAAAGTGCTAGCATGATAGTCACTTTTAACTTTCATTGTACATAATATTTGCACAAAGGTATATCTTAACCTTCTATCATGTTTGCACACTTCCTGTTTTTTTGCTGATGATAGAGTCATTCTATCTCTGTTAAATGTGACATTTCTCCATTTTAAGTGTATCTTATCTGATGAAAAAATCTAGCCCATGGGAAAATTGAGCAGGACTGGTCAGGCCCTCAGTTCAAGACTTTTGAGCCATAGTCACTTTGGCTCACCGTGGGTTTGGAAAGGACACCCAGGCAAACTTCTCATCTCCATTTTTCTCTTTTGTGTCCAATATGCTTTAATACAGATGTGGTTGATCAGCATGCATATTAAAATGAGAGAAGGCTGATTTCAAAGTCACTGCAGGGCCCGTCATTGTGGACACATCACAGCAGAACTCAGAGCCCTCCTTTTTTCTTTTCATTACTCCACTATCCACCTTTGATTAGAGTACGGTCGCTGAATTAAGTGGTTCATTAGTGAAGGTTATTAGAACTTGCAACGCGGGACTTTCTTGTGGTGCTACTTGACACACACAGGAGACCAAAGAGCATCACTATGAACGAGATATGTCCTGACCGTCTGAATGAATGGGCCTTTTGTTCAGCCCAGGGTGCGGGCCGTCACTCCGGGCATCCAAGGTGAGAGCTGCATTTCACCATCGTCAGCATCTGTTTTATATAATGTCTCCTGATGCGATTATGTGGTGTTGCAATTTTGACTGGATTCTGTGTTTGCTTTGTAAAACTGCCTATAAAGGGGGAAGTCAATATATGAAGAATTTTTGAGCAAATGTCTAGGTTTGGTCTGTGTCGTGCATGTTTTGCCTGAGAAACAAGCTTCTTATGTAAACACACAAGCCAAATACAGGCGACGGACCGTTGGTTTACAAAAAACAAGTCAACTTCTGGAACAAGGGTCATTTCTTAAACAGAAAAACCTGAAAAACGTTGATAAAGTTTGTTTTGAGTTTAAATTTTGAGTGGAGACAGATATATCCACAAGTACAAATAAAGCTATTATAATAACTAACATACATAGGGATGTAGGAGCCATTATTCTAATAAATTGGAAAATGGGTTGGAATGATATTGAAGACCTTATGTTATGTTCCAAATAAGGGTCTCTATAGTTTCCTGAGTAATATTCAATCTCTTTTATGAAACAAAGGAGAATATATTTCTCCATATCATGGTTTTGGGGTCTCATCTTACAAGTGTGACGTTTGAGGACATTTTACCATAAATAAATACAGAATCATTCAAATTGTTTATTGCTGTTGAATTCAGCAATGACAGGTTTGTAAATGTGTCCTTGTTGTCATTTTGAGCCTGCACTAGGGCAGCAGAACATTTAATGCATATTGTGGAACATTTGCGGCTGAACGGCAACATTTAGATCATTTTCCCCGAGCTAAACGTCTTTAAATTATTGCAACCTTGGCAATGTTTTAATTAGGCAACGACCACTGCAGTCAGAGCGCCTTGATGACTCATTCTCCATGAATCAATCTAACCTTGTTTTTTAATAGAATCACTATAATCACGTTATTACGGACGTATTGTGTATGTGCGTGTTTTATCTCGTACACGCTATACGCTTTTATTATTTGTATACAAGTAGTCTGTATTTCTTGTTTTATTCCTTTGCTATAAATGTACAGTAGTAGCACAATTACATAAAGGTGTTCCATATGTGCTCTGCGTGTGCACGTCTGTCCCTGAAGCAGCAGAGGTAGTATGAGTAGTACAGAGGTAGTATCGTAGTATCCTGCTGGTAGTGTGCTAGTAGGGCACGTTCCACTCGTCCTCCTACGGGACCCAGAATCCCCTGCGCCAGCCAACATGGAAGAGCCCAGCCTCTGCGGGAGAACAATGTTTTGGCTCTAAACAGCGTAACGCACCGCTAAAGGTGGGAGTGCGGCAGCCAGATCAGCGGCCCGTTGTCATGCACCGGTGAGTGTGAGCTGAACCCCGTGTTTCTGGTGCATTTGTGTAGGAATTGTGTTTGTTGTAGTCTTCGTATGGGACGCACGACAAAGCCCGCACCGCTCCGACGCTGCTGCTGCTGCTGCATACGGGACACGCTGAACTCCAGGCATTTGGATCGTGTAGGCGTGGCTAACAAACGTTCACGCGGATTTGGACCATAAACAGCAGTTTTTTTCCACATCCCTTTTAAACTCCACTGTTAGAAATACACACACAGTTTGAATAGGTATAGGGAATGGATCATAGTCACTTTTATAATTGGATTACTCTGCGTTAGTTATTATTTTCACACACCGACAATGACAACATGCATTTGATACAATTTACCCGTTAATCGTTCTACTAATCACAGCCAAACAGCCTAGGCAAATTATCTTACTACCGTATTACCAAACGAATTCATTAAAACACGTATGTAACCACATTTCTCTGAGATGGGTGTAATAAAAGCGATCGAAGTCGGACGCTAAGCTCCGCCCCTGGTCGGAATGCCTGGGCTTTAGCAGCGCTAGTTAGCATGCTGTGCTAGCTCTGTGCTAACACTGGGAGCATCATTGTTCGCCACAGTTGTATGGGCCGTTTGTTATGGGTCATGCCTAGTGTTGTCGCTCCATCACTTTCAGTCGCTTCAATGTTAAGAAACCGACCCACAAACTTCAGGTAAAGCCACACCGTTATTCCAATGCTACTTTACGATATTTCGCGTTTGCTTTTACGAAAATCCACGCTTCAATGTTGCCTTTTTTCTCCCTGCAGCAGATTTGTTTAGGTTGTGTAACGAATCGCGAGTGTGCATATGCATCAGCTTTTTTTAATTCATTCACTCAAACTGCAAAGCGATGCTGTTCACACACTTCTTAACCCACTTCCGAGCCTCCTTACTGCTCGCTTTTAGCTTCATGTTTCTGGCTGGAGCTTGGTGAGCATTGATCGGCGCCTGTAATTGCATGGCCATATTAATTATTGGCTGATCCTGCATCACAAAGAAGACGACGGGCCGCGTACGAGTGGCTAGCCCTGTGCCAGATATTGTTGCCGAAAAATGCGTTGTTGCTATAAACATTGTGCAATCTGTTTTTACTTTGCGTTTTTGCAAAGCTAGACGCGATGGAAGTAGCTCAAGTAGCCGCGATCACGTTTTGGAAAAGTTGGCTTTGTGTGCGCCGTGGAGTATGGTAATTTCAGGAGCTAGCGTACCATCAAAGCTCAAGGCATCTGGCAGCAGTCTGTTAGCATTGATTAGCCTCTTGAATCGTTACCACACCGCTAATCAACTACCTTTTACTTTTAATACACTGTTACGCGAGTCGAAAATGCGTGTGTGTTTACAACAATCCCATGCGTAAAACCAACATTGGCATCTGAGGATCGAATTACGCGGCGCTTAAAGATGTGTATCATGTCTTTGCTCTGGATGCAAACCAGTTTAGCTCGAGTCTGACCCATGCAGTAGACACAATTACTACAGTCTCGTATTTAATGCAGACGATGGGCACTCTCATTGGCAGATAAGCGCATGCAAATAGGATGACTGGGATAGACGGAGCCATCAAACAGATTAACGCACGATAAAAATCCGCTAGTCTCATGTTGTGTCTAGGATTGTGGCAACATTGACCCCTTTGCCCCAAAAAAGCAGACTTTACGCATTGGTAATTGGAGCTCTCGGGACTCTGATTTTTTGCTTATTATTTTTTTCTTTTTCTTTTTTTTACATCTGTCCCAGAATAAAAACAGCAGCATTGTGTTGACCTACAAAAAGGGTTGGATTAATCCGGCCATGAGACAATTTACGATCAGAGGGCACTGCACCATTCCCAAAACCAAGCTCAACTTGAATTTGAACAGATTTTGATAACAATCTAAAAGGTTAGCGCATGTATTTAAAGTGACACCGCTTTGAAATGACCAGAGTAGAGATCAATGACTATATGGGAAAATACAATAAAATACAACAGTAATGGCACAGTAATAAACAAGTACTGAGCATTGACCCGGACATGTCGAGGTGGTGATTTGCAGCTGTAGTTTTACACCTCTGTGATAATGGCACCGATCTAATTTTCTTTTCTTGTTATTTTCAGAATGACACTACTTTGTGGCCCATAGTTTTCCTGCCCATCACCTTTCACCATGAGCCTCATTCAAGACAAACTTGGCAACGAGTTCCTGCGCTCCAACAGCAGCATGGACTCCAACTACGGCGCCGGGATGATCATGTTCAGCCACCTACCTCCGGTCACCAGCTTCACGCGACTCGCTGCGCAGACTGTGATGCAAGACTTGCCACCTCCAGAGATGATCCTGAAGAAAGAGCGAGACTCTCCAGACTGCAGCATGGGCCTTCAGGTAGTGACCACTGCTTTTTCAATGTGTTAGTAATAATATCACAAGAAAAAAGAGCAGCACAGCATTTCAGTCACACAAGATGATTGAGGTATCAATACAAGAAATCTAATGGTTTTAGTTCAAGCATGTGCTTATGTAATAGCCTTTGCATGTTTATTTAAATATGCTGAGAAACTTGTGGATTTTTTACTTTGGACAATTGTTTGAACTGGTATACAGAACTTATTTGACTTAAATCCATGACCTGCAGGTGATTACACTGTTACATATGTTGATCTACTGAGTGAAAGTTTTATACAAAACATATGGCATGGATCTGTAGACATCCTCTGCTTATTTTTGCTCGGCACTGGAGACGTCGTGTTTACAACCAGAATTCATGTATTTCAACAAAATGGTTATTGACAAGGTAAAGTATATGCATCTAGACAAGTCTATATAAATCCCTACAACTCCGTAAAATAAAACGAGTTAATTAATCAAGCAAAATGTTGGCAATTTCACACTTCTCCAGTTAATGTACCCTTTCCCAATGTCAAAAGCAACCGTCCTCTTAATGTCACGGAAATGATTTAAACTGAAAGTGAAGTGACTGACGTGACTGCTTTCGCATCTTTAAATAAATGAAACATAATCAGACCTCAGTGCACCAGAGTTTGATTCAAATGGGGAACGTTGGAACACAACCTCAGGGAGTCCCAAGTAAACCAAAGTTCCAAAAGTAAACCAATTCGGGCAACAATAAAAACCACCAAAATTACTCCATTGACCTGTACTTTTTTGAGTTTAACGTCTCAACAACTGAACCATACTTTACACTCTGGTTCATTTGGGACTCGAGTGTGATGCCCCATCACACCATCCACTGATGAATCGACTGGCCGTTTTAGCCTTTGATGGGGCACTGTAGTTCACATCACACCGAGCTGTCCAAACAGAACTTCTTTGGTCATAACAGCCCATGATGGCGTACAGTGCTGAGGCTTGTGTTAGAATTATGTCTGTCAAAAATAGCCCTGTGTATTATTTCTTAATCGAGCTCATCAAGTTCATCCGTTAACCACAACTAAGTTGTTTTGGTCAAATTAAGAAATAAATCCCATTTTTGCTGACCTTTTGGGATCTAAACAACTAATCTATTCATCAAGAGAAACATCGGCCAGCAACTCAATGATCAAAATAATCTTTAAATACAGCCCAAGTGTTTTTGTTTTTTTTCTCCAGGAATTGTTTGATCTTAATGTTTTGTTAATGCATGTTTTTCTCACTCGTCCTTTTGTGAAATTGCACCCCCACAGAACAACATGAACTGCTCGGGAGTGGCCGACTACGTCCACTCCATGGGCATCAAGCAGGAGAAGATGTCTGAGCACGATTACCGGCTGCCTCTGTATCCTGGAGCCCTGGGGAAGAGTGCAGAGCTGCTGGAGGTGACGGTGGGCAGCAGCCAGAACCTCATGGTGCACGACCTCAACATGGGCCACGTTAGTAAAACAAAACCTTTTGAACCATATCTGGAAACGTTACAGGGACCACGGTTTCTCCCCAGAGAGCTACTTTTTGTGACTGAAAAGGCAGAGAAGGATTGTGAATGCGTTATGACCATAGTTGTAGGCATGTAAAGTATACAGTGTTTCCCACACATAGACTAATCTGTGGCGCACCGCCACAGATTAGAGACCGCCCGCCACAAATTGCGTTTCGTATTATTATATATATATTTTTTTTGTTACGCTATTTAAAACATGCATCGTCTAGTGCCGCCGCAGCGGTCAATTTGACAGCGGGGAGGGGGGTTTAAAATGTGGCGGCCCTTCGTAACTCTCACTCAAGCTACGCGTCTCTCCCACATACAGAGACCTACACACACACAGCCCCTCCCCTTCGTGCACACCGCGTGTCTCCGTCTCCATCAGCGATCATCGCTGTAAGCAGCTGTGTCTATTAATTTACCACGGTAAAGTGGCCCGCATCTTTCAGCTCTATGAACATGCGGCCAGCATCGGGGAAAAGACGGTGCGCGTTTTGTTGAGAACTTACGGTAACAGCGGAACGTCCTTTCGGAGTCACCCATTTTTATCGAACAGAAAGCGCGCTGGGGTCAGGGAGACACGTTTTTGTGATTAAAACCTTATAGAGATGCCACCCAGTACACATAGCACCAGCCCCCTACGATTCCTCCGGCAGATTGTGAGTCCTCAGGAGGATAGCCACTCTATTGTTTACATGTATAAAGTACACAATTTGGTCCGCTAGTGCAATTTTCAAGTATTGTAACTATTTACTGGAATAAGGTGTGCGACTAATTTCACTTGACTCATGACCTTATTATTGCCCTCTGCCACTGTACCAAAGACCAGAAACTTTTACTGTAGAAATATTGAGAAATATTGAGGTAAAGTAGCCATTTTGGTCCAAAATACCTCCAAAATAGTCAAAACATGTCACTTTTGATCTACTGTAACTTTTTACTGTAAAAAGGTGTGCGACTAATTTCACTGGATTCATGACCTCAAGATTGTCCTCTACCACTGTACCACTGTACCCCCCCCCCCCCCCCGCCGACGACCACCACACATTGCCTTCAAACCTGTGGGAAACACTGGTATATCAATTGAAATATTCTTAATTTCAAAATCCTTTAAGGGAGCTACTTGGAAGGGGGTTTTGAGCTAGTGATAGATTACTGGCTTTAGGTTGTAGACTCTTGCTATATAAAAAGGCATATAATTGAATGGAGCCAAAGAGGACAGTTTACAGTTGATTTCACCACTGACAACTGCAGCATGTGCAGGCGAAGCAGAAGAGCAAAAAAGGCACTTGTTTGGATATATATACAGAACGCAGTCTAAATAAAAACACCCAGCGAAAGCAAAAGTCATCTTATTTTTTCCATTTAAATCAATATTGTGTGAGGGACACACTGTCGGGCTTCTCTACTCACCTGTGATGGATCAAAGCGTTTTCTCTGTCATCTGTTTGAATGGACGTCGCGTTCGTACGGTAGTTCCTTTGACGTTCCCGAAATGGTAGCACTCATTTCCCCAGGCTCCCGATCCTATATCCCATTTTCATCTGTGTGACTCCTGATAACGATATCCTTAAAGTAATGGGTCCATTCAACAACATGAAACGAGAGGTGAAGGAGAGAACCCTGTGAGTGTCTGAGAAGGTACCTCCAGAGTAAATCAAGTGTAAATCCATTTGGTCATTTTCTGCAACTGCAACAAGGCCTGACTGTGAACACATTGTATCGCTCTCACACCATCGCTGTCCATTTCTGTGCAAAAGAAGAGCGGAAATATGTTGAATTTGCATATTTTTATATTCAAATATTTTAAAGGGACTACAGAAAATCCGGATGATGGCCGATTTGAAAAACTGTGAAAGCGGGACTCTTCACAGCCTGGCGTTCTAATTGACATTTCTGTTGCTATAATATTGGTTTATCATGCCACAAATAATGTCAATGCCCATTATGGAAAACTCCTTTTATGCGTATCCTACTTAGTATCTATTCAGTGATTTCTCTGCATTTCCCACTGCACAGTTAAAGAGAACCTTTCAATGTCCAGACTTGCACTTAAAATAAGTAAAATATGCTTTAATACAATGGTATTTGTAGATTCAAATATAATGCAGTTACACCCAATTTGTAAAGTGCTTTATGTGACCTTGGTCTATGGAATGCGGTATAAATTAAGTATTATTTTTCCATCTCATGAAAGTTGAAATAATTATTATGTTCTTTTAAAGGTCTTCAAATTAAAATGTTCAACTCTTTTAAAATATATACATTTAGCATTGAATATAACTGTAATAATAATTGTATAATGATTATACTTCAGTGTTTTGTGTGAAAAAAAATATTTGGCCAATGCAATATTTGTATCTGTTTCTCCAATCCAAGTTAAAGTATTGTAGTTAACATTTTCAATCAAACTCATTATAGAGTTACGTACTATGGATGTGTTTATTGTATTAGTCCACACTGCAGCCTTTTCAATTTAAAAAACAATAGTAGTTTGAAGTGGGTCCATGTGACGTAGTCCTTACAAAACTTTAAATGTTTTGCTTAAATCTGTATTGACACCTAATTCAGAACTAAAGTGCCAAAATATCTGATTTAGTCGTATTGCAAATGGTTAGTACTTAATATCTTCCTATGGCCAAAACATGCCTAGGATCTAAATGTTCAGATTGACCAAAGAAAATAACTTCTTCTAAGCCACTAAATCACAACGCTTATTAGCTTTTTGATTTTGTTAAAAAATGTAGTGAATGTCTTTTAAACAAAACACAATATTTAGGATGATTTCATACTTTTTCCCACTTCAAGAATCAAAACATTGGAGCTAACCCAATAATATCTCGTCGCCTCTTTTTAATAAGCCAAAACGAGTCTCTTCGGGGTTTCTAGTCTGATGAACTTGCTCATTCATGCCAGCAGTCTTATGTAAATGTCCCCGACGTTGAATAATACATGAACTATAAACCCGGGCACGTATCGGCCTTTTCCCAAACCTTGCCTTGTCCCGCAGTGGCCTTAGAGGGAGGGGCTTAAGCGCAACGTCTGCATTGGGAGGAGTGTGCGCGGCCCGTGACATAAATCTGCTCGATGCAAAATAATAAATGAGTCTTCCACCCCCCCCCTCCTTCCCTTTCCCATTCCTCGTGCTTCTCCCCTCTGGTCGCGGCCGAGGGTGATGTCATCAGCGAGAGCCTGAATGAAGAAAAAAGAGGGCCTTGGCAAGGACACAGCTGTCTTGTTTGGGTCCGCACTTCATTTCAGACGGCTTTTGTGCGCACTCAAATACTAATACACACAGCCACACAGGTCTCACAAAGGCAGGAATCAAAGGTCAGCCGCCTGAAGATGCCGGGATATTCACGCCGCACAATGAGCCGCGGCCGCCTAGTGCCCCGCGGCCTCGCTAACTTGTCTGTCCGTTTACGATTTTAACATTTTCAACACGAGGGCTCGCCAAAAAAACAAGTCAAAAGCACCACTTTTAGTTGGCAAATAGAAAGGTTATAAATTGAGTCGTGGGGCTTTTATGTTGCCCTGGTCTCAACGGTGGAAATGAACGCTTAGTAAAAGTGTTGTATGAGGTGCTTTTGTGCATAACTGGGAGGAGATCAAATAAATAGGCATATTTAAGAAAAATACAATAATTTGGTCCATTTTAAGTCCTTTTCTACCCCTGTATTATTCAATTTCTTTTATTATTCCATTTCTATTATTCAATATAATATAGTATCTATATTAATCTGAATCAAAATAGCCCTGAAAACTACTCTAGTGTTATACTTCTCTGTAAAGGCCTGTGTGATTTTAGAAAATTTAATTTTGTTTTTTGGATTACACAATTTTTCTGGACACTACTGAAATAGAACTCAAGATTAAAATGAGAGATGCTTTATTCGCCCGTCAGTGAGGAAAGTTGTTGCGTTGTCCATTACAGACGGAGGAGTAAAGGGCACATGAAAACCAGGCAAAAAGCTGCACATGCTTCTTTTAGCGTTAAGGTCTTTGATGACCTTTGGCCATAGCTTGGCTTAATCATAGACCTATGATATACTCTAGTTACGATGCTATGTAATTAAATGTGTTAATGTCACATCATTACATGGTGAAAACAAAAAATAATCACAATGCTTGTATCAGTTTTTGCATTTTTGTTTATACATCTGCTGTTCATGTAGCAAAACATGACCACTACAATTTACCAAAAAAGGGTCAAAGAGCTGTATTCCTCTAGTTACAGCTTCAATGTTGGTATTGGCAGTAAAACTTGCTCAAGATCGGGTGACACTATTTGTCTTATATTTTGTAAAATATGTCCACCGGGTAAAGGGTCAATTGTAAGTCTTTCAAATATTTTTTTCTAATGCTTTGCAAAATAAATGTATTTTGATTATTTCAACACTGATTCAGGCCGAAAAAGATGTTGCTAAAACTAATTTAAACACAATTATACAAGATAACATATTCAGTTGTGACGTGTCGCTTTTAATTTAGTCAACAACTCTCTGGGCTTTTCTGATAATCAGTCGTTGCATTTGGGTTGATTTAGGGGAGAGCAGGTGCACCTCCATTGACCCCGTGAGTGTCCATATGCCACTGAAGGGTTTGGCTGTTCTCTCCAAAATGCGCTGGCACACACTGGGATAAAAGCACCGAGCTGCCGTATGCTTCAAACACTCCGTGACAAACGAGGAGAAATAATATGTGTCTATATTTGGGGATATGCAGTCTAATAATCTGATCATCCTCATGTTTGTGTAATTCAAGAAAAAAGACAGTTGCATTCATTTCCCCTCATTATTACTGTTCATATTGTAGTCTTCATTTCTGTTCTTTTAATGTTTTTGCCTGATCTAAACTTCTTATGAACACGTAAGCAACATAATTGCCAATTCTTATTTATCTCTACAACTATGTGCTTATAGTAATGCTATAAGGGACAATTGCTGGCAACAGCTAGATAAGAAAAGGGTGCTTTGATTTGTCTTAAAATCAGAACTTTCCACTGTTGCAAAGCACTCTTAATATAGAATAATCAGAAATAACAATTAACTACTGCTCTAATTCAACATTTATCATAAAGTTTACCAGAATATTGCTAAAAATGTCTCTGATGGGGTTTTCTGGGCTGTCAGTCTTTGGACATTTGGTCGATTACATCTTAGTCGACCCAAATATGTATTGTTTGACTCATTTAAAGAAGGTTTTCAATTGGAAAATTGAACAATCAGAAGGTTGAGAGAAAATTACCTGAAGATTTGGTCTTTATTTTGGCTTTACTCACAAGTTTAAATCACATTTGTATTCACAATCATTGTCTTCTAGTGCTTAAGTTTTGCTTAAGAGTTGAAATCATGTCTTAAGTCGACTACACAGTGGAATACGTAGCAGTGATTTGATTCTCTAGGTTCATGTAATCATATGTGGGTGTTAAGGGCTGTTTTTTAGTAAAGCAGGTAATGGATTTTTTTAAGTTTGCGTGACATTTAGGACTGCAGACCCTTAACCCTCCATCAAGTAATTTCCATGTGATGGCTGTCTCTCACGGCCCCGCCCTCTCCCTTTGTCGTCCAAACAGCTGCCGAGTCAGTTAGGAAAAGAGCCCAGTGGGAAGAAAGGCCGGAGGTCAAATGGTGATGGACAGGAGGGTAAACCAAGAAAGAAGCGCAGTGAAAAGGTTGGTCATAAATCTTCATATTTCACAGAATATCCTTTCATATTTATGTAAGTCTTATCAAGCAGCTGCACAGTGGTGGATTTAGACTAAAGTGGGAAACTGGATGTTCACAGTTGGAGGATTTCACACTTTTGTTTTTCTGGTGTTTTTCAAAGCAATCAATGATGCTGGATGCAGATGGAGGCAGCCTTTCACCAGGAACCAAGCCTCACATCTGCGAGCACTGCAATGCAGCCTTCAGGAGCTCCTACCACCTACGCAGACATGTGCTGATTCACACAGGTACAGGCCCCACAAGAAACACAGTATCTGCTTTGTGGGATGGTTCTATCTCATACAAGATGCTTTTCAAACTGCTTAATGGATAAATACAGTTCACTTAATGTGTTTCTTTTCTATTGAGGATAAATACATGTAGGACCTTAACCTCACATTTCAAATCCTTCACTTCTTCAGGTGAAAGGCCGTTCCGGTGCAATCAGTGCAACATGAGTTTCATACAGAAGTACCTGCTCCAGCGTCATGAAAAAATACACAGTGGTGAGTTCTTGCATCCGGATTCTGTCACTATATCAACTATAAAAGACATTGGTCAGATTGACCTAATGACCCTGTTTTTTACAGGAGAAAAGCCATTCAGTTGTGACCAGTGCAACATGCGCTTCATTCAGAAGTACCACATGGAACGCCACAAGCGGACGCACAGCGGCGAGAAGCCGTACAGATGTGAGACCTGTCAACAGGTGAGATCTGTGCATTAACCACTGCTCAAAGTCCAATCTAGGTCTGATTCTTTAACACGTGTGTTTGTGGGACAGTATTTCTCCAGGACTGACCGCCTGCTGAAGCACAAACGCACCTGTGGAGACGCTGTGAAGAAAGGGTTGGACCCCGGGATGATGGACATGGACTGTGTGGACATGGGACATGGCAGCTATGGGATCTCTCAGGGAAACGGCAGCAGCACAGGGCGCAAAAGAAGGTCCAAAAATAACCCTGACGGAGGGGAACGCAGGAAGAAGAAAGGGGATACTGGGCAGAGGGTCCCTCACTCTCAGAGCGCAGTCTCTGGGGGCTACAGTATCCACGACTACGCTGTAGAGAACCAGACTGTGTCCTCCACCACAGAGCCTGGGCCCAGCATGCAGCACCAGGGCCGTGCCCCCAAAATGGCCTTTAAGAAAGCCCACCGCAACAAGTCTGCGCAGGTGAAGCACGTAGCGATGGAGCAGGGAGGAGCCATGGACGGCCTGATGCAGGAGAACTGCCCCAAAGCCACCAGTAGCCACCACTATGACGACGCCATGCAGTTCATCAAGAAGAAGCGCTATCTCCACGCAGCAAATAGTGCTAACTCCACAGCGCCAGTGGTGTCCGCAGCCACCAGCAGTGAGTATGACGTGGGACACCTGTCCAGTCAGGCCGCCATGACAACAGTGATGGACCCTGACCCCCACCTAATCTTGGACAAGACAGGCATCCCAGACGAGGTGCTGCAGAGCCTGCTGGAGCACTACAGCCAGAAGGCGGACGGCTCAAACCACGAGGTGTATGACCTGAGCGACGCACAAGTGGAGCTGGCGGCGGCGGCGGCGGCGGCGGGGCTGGTTCACCTGGACACCTCTAGTCCCTCTGTGGAGAAGAACAACATGATGAACGAGTACTCGCGCTTCCTGCTGCAGGCTCTGGAGCGCACCAGCAACAACGGCAGTTTCCCTGTGGGCCCCTCCCCTCCCTCCTCCGGCCCCTACACCAGTTCACACCCAGGGACGCCGCTTTACTCTGACAAGAGCATCTACGCCAGCTCGCCGCTGGACTGTGGCTATGGTCAGTCTGTGGCCTCTCCGTCAATGGCCTCCGCGGTGCCAAAGTCTCACTTCACTTTGCTCACAGGCTCGTCTCCTCAGCACAGCTTCCACCTGAGCGGCCTGGAGCCCTCTCACCAGCAGCTCACTCCGTCACAGGAGCTGACGGAGCAGTTGGACAAAGCCCACTCGTCCACTCCCCCCTCGTCGTACATGGGCCCCTCAGACCTGAGCGTGAACAAGGAGCAGGTGAAGAACGGCTCTGCGGTTTATCCCCTGGTTCCCTCGCAGGAGCTCACGCCTCTGGACTCTGCCAAACCTTTGTACCAGATCGAGAACTTTGCTCAGGCCTTCGGCTCCCAGTTCAAGCCCGAGAGCCTGAGCTATGGCGCGGATTCGGGCGAGGTGGATCACCGAACGTCTGAATTCTCAGGGTATGGTTTGTTGTCTGATGTCAATGAGCCAGTAAGTACAGGTTCCAAAACTCCAACAAGCCAAAGTTTCAGATGAGCCTGAGGGAGAGACACTTTTCTGTGCTTCTATTTTATTAATATTGTTATTTTTTTAAGGGACTTTATTTGAATTTTGATGCTCTGCTTTGTGCCCACGTCTCTCCCACAATGAGCCTGCATGGCTCCTGCAAATGCATTTTTAAACTATTTTTTTAAGTTAATAATGTATTGACTGTTTACTGTTGTCACGTAGTGCTGTCGGCTCTTCTCATGAATCATGATTTCACACTCCTCTTTAGTTTAGGCTTAGAGTAGCACCAGACATGTGTTTGTGCTGTTTGAGCAATCAACTTTACAATTGTAAAATAATAATTGAAGTAACCATGATGGCAGGGATAGCCCAGAACTGAAATAGCAAAAAGGTTTTGCCTGTTACAAGGTTCAAAGTATTAACTCAGGAAAAGTGCAAAGGAGAAGCCTCAGGGTGCAGGGGCACCCTCCCAGACGTCTAAAATTTGGGACTTGTTTTGTTACTTGTGGAATGAGTGTGACATAAACAGACTGCTGCCAGCTCACTTGAACACTGAAAACACTTTCTTCTTGGCTTTATAGAGATTATGGTACTTTCGTGTCAATGTGAAACTCATTTTCTTCAATAAGGGCCATATATATCTATATATATTTATAAGAATATATATATTATGTAAAATAACAGATTTAATCATTCTCGGGATCTGCCAGTTGAGGGGGCGAGGGCAGGCTGTGGGGTAAATGTTGTCCTGGTTATATTTTTGGAGAACAAAGCAATGTTAGGGCTTTTCTTGGGCCAATAGGGGGTGCTGTTGGGCAGCTAAAGAATGGCCTTCCCCTTCCTGTACTCCTTGTCTTCCTCAGCGGTCCTATATCTTTAAAAGAATCCAATTAGCACTTTGAGCCGTTGTAAAACATTGAGTCAAAAGGGCCTCATTCGGATCAAGAACGCAGACATGTCACGATGGACTGCCTCCCAGTGGCTGTTGCATATGCAGAGGGGATGGGAGCTGGGTGGGAGGGGTTTCTAACCTGTTCAAATGGGACTTTTTATAATGGATTCTCTTACTCCTTAATGTGGGGAGGGCTTGCTGAGGGAGGGAACTTAAAATTGGGTTTTTGTAAATGTATTGAACCCCTTAGTTTTAGTTTTTGGTCGTTACCCAATTTAGCATTTTCCTTTTTCCTGTTGAAATGCGTGTTAGTGATTAAATATTGCCTGAGCTGTTACAGAAGCAGCCATGAATGAAAATATGGCTGACCATGAACTGTATGCATCGAATCGTCTGATCAGGCCCTTCTTGTGTGCTGGCAGTACCAGAAAATTTGTCCCCCTTTGCAATTTGGGTGCCTCATCCTGTAAAGTGCAGGTGCAAATATTGTCTCGTAAACATTAGGCGTATCTTTGTCGATTTTATACTTGTATTTATGCTGTACTTTTTGTAAAGGCAAGTCCGCTGTCTTCCATAGGTACACAACGCCAATAGTGCTGAATTCCCAGTGACCTCTTATTTTTAAAGCAATCATGAACATGGCGGAGTGAATGCTATGCTGAAATATCAAGTAAATAAATAAGATGCCATACAGTGAAGAGGAAACCTTTGCCTCGCATATACCTCATATCGCATTGAGCCCGAGGTGGGTCGATGTTTGTAGCAGAAATGCTGTTGTATTTAATGCTGTCATCTTTCTGTGTAACTATGTTTATTCATTTCTACATGTGGCATTTGCCTGGCCCGTTTTATTGCTTAAGGGTTAGTTTTTTCGCCCCAAATGTCACATACCAGCCAGTGTTAATTCTTCACAGATTATTTAACACGTATTTTCTCGATGCTCGTTTACAAAAATGTACAAAACACTACATATTTCTTTACCCAAGTCTGTCCCCTTGTATAAATTTAGTTTCTTTCCCCCTTTTAAATCACCACCAAATTTTGTAGTCCAAATATCCTTTTATTTTCATGTTTTCTTGTGGATATCTGCACAAGACTGTACTGTCCAGAAGAATTCGGGAGAAAACAATAAATGCTCTCATTTGTAGAGTCTTGTCTTTTGTTTCATACGTTGTGTTTTAGATGCTGAGAAAGTAGTAAGGACAATGTGGGAGTTAATAAGGACGAGATAAAACAATGTGGTTATAGTATTTTTGGGATTTCTAACTTAAATGAATGCTTAGGTTTTATATAAGTTATAATGATACAAGTTTTAAACAAATCATATGTCACCTTTTTGTTTTTAGTATTCATACTCCAGTTGGTATTTTGGTACTAGCTTTAGTAGAAAATATATTTGATCATTAAAAGAGAGATGGGGTCCACCAGAATGAACACAGCTGTTCTGTGGTGACCTCAGATCTTACAGAAAAATGAGGAAGTTCATAGTTCATGTATCAATACTTTCTGAAGACATCTGAGAAAACCCCTGGCCACTAGATGGAGGCAGTTATCTGCAAAAAAACAAATTTCTATTATTTACTGAATAAATGCACTTTCAGAATTGTAGTTTTTGTGACTGACATATTATTGCACAAGCACCAGCAACACAACCATCACTGACAGTAAATGTAAAATACTTCCTTGACACAATGGAAAAGTCACTCAACTCCTGACCTGAGGCTTGTTAATAACTCACTGATTTCATATTTTTGAGATTAATTTCAAGTTAGTGCCTCATATTTCTTCATATCACTGTGAGTCACTGTTGTAAGAAGTAACAATTGACATTGTAGAATTAAATCTGAAACTATAAACGTCAAAGGCACACATCAGAACTGGGACATGGTTTGTGTGCACAGCTATAAAACAACATGAGACACAAGCAATAAATGGGAGGGTCGATGTAAAACTCATATTGGGAATTCAAATTCATTTCCCACAAAGTAAACACACAATGAGAGTTAGTGCCATGTTGATACCTCAGGAATATTTATTATTACAAAATTGATTAAAGAACTTAAAGAAAAAGCCGGTGGTGAAACGAAAGGACGTTTACTGTTGTTTCATTATTATGTTTTTTAAAGATGCAGTGAAAAAGGAAAAATTATGTTGATAATTATTGCATGTCTTCCCTCGTTTTTGTCTTTATAGAGAGTGAGAAAAAAGACAATATTGACCTTTGTATGAATTTATATTTATGTCTTCAACATTGTACACAAACAAACAAAAATATCGATGCATTTTTGTCTAGTTCTAACTCACAGCAGCAGCCGGCTCCAAAGACTTAAAAAAGTTGTCGATTCCTCAAAAACAGATCAGAAAATAAACCATTTCGAACACAATAGCAATAACAAACGCAAATGGCGAACGACCAATGTCCATAAATGTTAATAAATGTCCGATACAAAATAAACACAATACAATATGAATCTATAATGACCTTATGGCAGGTTAAAACTTGCAGAATTTAGAGACATTTCACCCAAAAAGACTCAAATATCCACATATCGATCACATAAAACTACAGTATACACATGTCTCATTATTATGTAGAGTCTGAAGTGAAATATCAGAGTGGCCGTGTTTCCATTGATACGGCCCCTGAGCTTTGCCGTGAAAGCAGATATGGTTGTGTCCACAGGAACAGGAGGCAGATATAACGCAGTATTTGCATAAAGATAACAGTAAGGTCAGAGACGGAGGTTTTTGTGCGTGGAAATGTGTCATGTCCTAAAGCTGCAGGGTGTAACTTTCACATAGAGAGATCACCGCCCTTGCCTCTAATCAACCATACACTCAGAAAGTTACCCAGAGCCCAAAAAGTATGTTATAACTTAAGAAAACAGTTATACTTTTGTCTAATATGGTCCAAATAGTCTTCTGAACCAGGTTTAAGATTGTGACATTGTATAATAACTACTGGACACATGTATTTGATGCTATTTACAGATGAAAACTAGAATATTGTTCATTTATGTCTCTATTTCAAAGTAAAATGTGAAACCAAGACATGATATAGGCTCACTACATGCATCATTTTAATATTATGGCTTACAGTCTGTTATCAAAATAATCCCATTTTCTGAGATCTATAAAACTGTGAGCCAAATATCAACATCATTTTTTAACACAGAAAGGATTGATATATCTCAATTTGCATATGATAAAAGTCTATGTCATATATTGTAAGATGAATTATAAAAAATTATATGGACTTTTTCCCTGAGTTTCACCTGTATAATTCTTTGCATAATCTCAAATTGGCACTTTCATTTCAGTGACGCATGCAGCTCTTGTCAGGTAACATATTAAACCGGGTCAATTTTAAGCTACGTCCGTGCGTAAGTGCTGAAATATTCCTGATAACTTTGTATTTGTTTAATAATGTTTGCTTTATGGCTTTGGATTCTGCTGAGGTCAAGTCAACGACAGATCTTCATCGTGACTAAAATACCAATGTTAGAACTCATCCAAAACGGTGCCTGAATTATTATGCAATTATAAGTTTATTTTATATTTATTTTTATTTTTTTGTTATTATATTTTTTATTGCATTTTTAGGTTACATTTTCCCCCCAATCCCTCCCACAATATCCCCAAGAGGAGAGATAGCATATGACATTTACTACAAAAATACATTTACAAAAAAAGAAAGGAAAAAAGAAAACAAAAAAGAGAAAAAATATAAAAATAAAAATAAAAATAATAAAATAAGGTAAAATAAATAAATAAATAAATAATAGCAATAAATACAGAAAGTAATAATAATAACTATATAAGAGTAAATTAAAAAAAACAATTAAAACAAGTATATATAGAGAAATATATATATATATATATATATAAAAAAAGAAAAATATATATATCCGTGTTTTTGATATTTTGGAAAATGCACTGGGATGTAGAAAACGTGTAGTGATAAATAGTTTGAGAAATCTAAAATGCTCATTCTTTATCAGCTACAACACATTTTCAAGTTAAGTTGATTCACACAGGTGGGGTTGGGAGGGGCAGGGATATAAAATTCCTTTCCATTGAATGTGAAATTTGAGACCATTGACCTTGAATCTTTTTGTTCATTGACAGACAGTGTTACTTTTTCTGACGTTTATTCTGCTGCAATCGTTTCAAAAGTTACACAGTTTACACAATGTTTTGTCATTTGGTTATGTGTCTAATGAGTTGAGCTTGTGTATCTGATCACAAGTTTTCAATAAGTCATTTCAAATCAAGAAAATTCACACCCAACGTTTTTTTTTTTCTTTTTTTCTGCTTCTCATCTAGCGCTAGTTCTCGTTCAGTTTGACTCATCTTAATAAGAAATGTCTTCAGAATACTTGAGAATACTTGTTTTTGAATGAAAGACGTGTTTGGATTCTTAATGTCAGTCTAAATTATAATGTGCCTTTCCACTGTAATTATGAAGTTCATTGTTATTCATAATTCACGACTTAATGACCAATCCATCACTCTTTCTGTCTCTCTACAGCCCCCACACACTCCTCACCCTGACCCCTGATCTTTGTCAATAAATTGTACGTTTTTAATTCTTATTTGCCTAAACTAAACTCATAGAGATTGTTCAGGTTTAGAATAGTTATATATTTTTTAGCTTCTTCTATCCCTTGTTCAGTGTTTGTAAACAAAGATGACTGAGGTGTGACTTTATGATGGAAGCTGACATGAGATATTGTGCTCCGTGTAAGATGAGATTTGAGATGGACACTTGTGGATCGATGGTGTCTTTGGTCTAATCCTTGATATGAGAACTATCACTTAACTGACTGCTGTTGCCTCTGTTGTTGTGAGAATGTGTCTCAATTTGCTAAAACCAACAGTCAGAATCAGAATCAGAATCATTTTTATTGCCACGTAAGTAACAGGAGATCACAGACTTGGAAATTGCTTTGGCTCAGTGCAACAGTCAGAAAGGGAGAATACAAAAGAATGAATAAAAAACCCTTCTAAGTATTTGTTTCAGTCTATAACTAAAAGTCAAGTGTACAAAAGAGTGGATTTATAGAAAACCGATTGATTTCAAAATATTCATTTGTTGAAACATTTGTTACAACATCTTAATGGAAACTTCATCACTCACTTTTTTATTATTATTATTATTTCAATTATTTTTATTCTAAAATGATATTTCAGATATGCTTGTATTCACAGTAATAAGTTTAGTTGCATCATGTCCTGATATGAATGCCTGAAGCTTCATCACTCACTTGTTAATGCTCTGTGGGCGGAACCAAATCCTCTTATGGCTTTCTGATTGACAGGGCTCTTGTCCAATCAGAGGAGGCGCAGCTTAAGCCTTTAATACGGTCTCAGGCCCTCCTCCCGCACTGTCTCTGTCTCTCACCTGTAGCGCGCAGCGTGGAGCTCCGTCTGCGGCTAAACCAGCTCCGTTACCCGGGCTGCTCCTCCTGAAGAGCCGCTGTCCACCTCCAGTCATGGGCTCCTCACTTCTGCCTGACCTCCTCCTGCTCCTCCTGCTCCTCCTGCTCCTGGGAACTACGGCTGGCGGTAAGAGCACTTTACTTTTGGGAGCAGCACTTTTGTGATTGTTGCCACTTTTGGAATAGTTGGTGTTCATCATTAAGCCTAAAAGGATAGATTGATCTTCTCTAGAATCATTGTATACAACTACTATCTAAACTGGGAAACAATAAACAGAATACTAGAATTAGCCTATACCTGCTTTTAAATACATATGTTTATAACCTTTTAGTTTCTGTAGAAGAATAGCACTTTGATTTAGGCCTATGAGTCATGCTTTTAGTTTAATTTGAGTTAGTCCTTATACTCCCTACTGTACAGAATCCTACTGCGTGTACTATGAAGCTGAGATATTGTGAGAGGTTTTAATCAGGTGCAGTTTGTGAAACATTATTCATAGAAATCACTCATGTAAAGCAGTCTTTTCTTCTCATTATAAAACACTGTCATGAAGCTGTTGAATTGTAGCAAATGCCTAATAATCTATTCTAAAATAATACATTAAGACACATTAGTGCTGTCTCCTTGAGTTAGTTTGTGTTGTTGTCCCTATGTTAAAATGACATTATCACATACACATATATTGAGTGTATTTCATTACACTCGATACTTAAGGGACCCATAAAACGCTTTTTGACTTTTCTGTGGTTTAAACATCAATTTCAATATCACAGTGAAAATCTAAAAGAAAAATGTTTGGGGACAAGCAGTTGAAATTTTTGACAAAATTAACATCTTTATATAACTTTTTATGGCAGTACAAGATGTTATACTAGTTCACATTTGGTCATGTTTATTTATCGATTTCAGAATTGCTCATTTCTTCAATGCGTATTACGTTTATGTAGTAGCTTCAGTATTATTCTGTGATTTATTTAACACTTTTTGACTGCCTTTTGAATACAGTTACTCAAAATTAATGTTCCAATGCTACACACTGTTACTTTTTGTCGCAAAGTCCCAAATCCAGACACAATCTCTGCTTATTTCTAACTCCAGACCTATACCTTGTTTGTGAAGGTTTGTGAAGGTGAATTCTTGTCGCTTCTTCGACTTGACACCGTCTGATTGAAGCATGAAAAGAAAAGCTTTTTGTTTGTCAGGATTTCATTTGGATTATGTACTTATCTTTCCTGATGGCAGATCATAGCTGCAGGGACCTCACTGTGGGGGGTTCCCTGAGCTCTGGACCCTGACTCAGACCTGACTCAGACTCGGACTGTGATGGACAATACAGGCTGCGCTGGTCACTCTGTGGTCAGGGCCAGCTCTGGGCTTCTGTAATCACTTTGGAATGGCTCTATGGGGTTCAAACTCATCCGCAGGCAATGCACTATTTGGGAAAGATACAAGAACAATAAAAGTAGGATTTATTTTTGTTTGTGCTGGACTCCCGATTACTAAAACTAATATTTGTTCCATTTCGATTTGAGCAAGTATTGATGCTGATACGGTCTTTTAATGTCAAAAGTGTTGGTTTGTTAGTTTTTGTCTTGTCTGTCTGTATGTTTTAAATTGGACCTAGAGTCTATAATAATGTTGAATTTAATTGAAAATGATCACAGAACAAACCAATGGAGACAACACAGTAATATCTTCTGTCTACAGTTATCTTACAATAAAATCAGATTGATGTTATAATTTGTATATAACCCTTATAGAGTTGCTCAATTATAGATATAAAAAAAATCACAACTGTTTCTCTCATAATATAAACACATTATTTTGATATAAATAGTTCACATCTGTCAAAATGTGAACTACACTAAACTGAAGTGTGTGTGATTTCCCCAATTTTTGGAAAGAACCGCCCTCTCCTTTTTAAAAAGCAAAACTCTCTAGTCTCCTTTTACGAGCACGTATCACCAGAATGATTGACAGTCAGGAGAACCAATAGTCTTGATGATCCACCTGGAAGTAGAAAATTCTTCTCTATATCTTTTTAAGTACATTTTTTAATGATAAATGTCAAAATCCTTTTCTATGCAAAATTGACATAATTGTGACCCATACAGCAAATGACTGGGTATACATATATGACATACATAGTGCTTCAATTCTTCTGTTATGAATGAAAACGACAAAATATGAACTTGAATTTGACATGTTTTTACCTGACCAAGCATTTCTTCAGCCAACAAAGCTGTATTTGTAAGTAGAACAGGTTGATTTCAATGCACATGGCGATAATCGAGAATGAGAACGTTTGAGATTGGCTTGTTTTGATTTTCTGCCCAGCCCTGATAGTTTATAGTTGACACCAAACCAAACTTTATTTTCTCAATCAGCAGCAGTCTTTCATGTCCTCTGTTCACGACTCCAGAGAGAATCCATTGGTCACCGCTGTGGTATATTAAGTGTGTCTTTCATATAGATGGTGCTTCAGTCTGTATCATGTGCTGTAGCATCAGCGTTTGGCCTGAGGGGACGTGTGTTCGCCCGGTCATGTGGCCCCAGCCGTCATTTAAACACATTTATCATGACGGAAAACAGAAAACAGAAGATGCAGTGAAGACAGATAAGATAAGATCAAGTAACAGAAAAAATTACAAATCAATTGTTTGAGCCTAAAGATTTAGAGCTGTCTGCATAATCGTTCTCTTACTGTAATTATTTGGGCCTGTCAACACAACATGGTTTGATGAACAATAGCTAGCGATAAAATAACATAATGGAACTGCTTTATGCCTTTCACAATTTAACAAAAACTCTAGATCAAAGAATTGTACAAAAATATGCATATATCATCCATTCCTCTATTTTCTTCCCCTTAATCCATTTCCGGGTCGGGGGGGGGTGGTAGTCAGAGCTGCACCCGGTCCACATAGCACCAGCCCCTCACTGATCCTCCTGCAGGTGGTGAGTCCACAGAAACCTTGATCTTTCAGTGAGGGCTTCAGGCAAAGTGGAGTTAAGTGTCTTGCCCAAGGACACAACGGCAGCAGTCATCTGGGAGTCGTGAAGTAGGTCTTGTAGTGGCCTCGAACCCACTACCTTCAGGTCTTAAGGCCAACGCTCGGCTCTACCAACTGAGCCACTGTCGCCCCCATGCTCATAACAGACATGATAAATAGTTATAGGTTGCATAGAAGTGACCTACAGCTCAAATCCTATCATAAGACTCAACATCCACTTCATCATTGCAGAGAATATACTATTTTATGATATCAATGTTATAGCTTGTCATAATGAAACCAACCTCGGTCCTTTTCTACCACCCCACTTGAGTTGTTCGATGCAGGAGGGTCAAAGGTCAGTGATGATCCAAGACATTTGAGGACATTTATTTACATTCATGGACGCTGGTCACCCCTCTCTATATTGACCAATGACTCCTATGTGTTTGTTATTATTATCAGTGTTGGAACTGATTTTTGGTGTGTTTTTCATTTTTTTCATTTTTTTTTTGTGAATCAACAACCTGGTTAAGTCATCCGAGACTACTGCTGTTTTGATTTAGGGCTATACAAAAAGATGTACACAGATGTCTTTGTTATTATTATTCTTACAGTGGAACTATAGCATGCAAACACTCTATGCTATAAATGAGTACACACTTGGTAACTTTAGATTATTTCTTGAATAAAGGATTTTTTTACATTAACTTTACAAGTAGCAACTGTATGTGACTTTACATTCACAGCATAAAGCAAATATAGATATCGACATAAGACCCAAAAATGTATCATATCCTTTTTCTGCCCTTACACCTTTAAAACAGCACGACACAAGACTGCACTTACTATCGACACTGTTTAATGTGATACACCTTCAGAATTCTTTCGTGGGTAAACAGATCCGTAATGGCCGGAGCTTGTGGACGGCTGAGTGTTCCAGTGAAGTAGCTGCAGACGCCTGTGCACAGCTGGTCTGGCTCTGCTCCCACCCAGGCTCGACCCCTCTCTCTCACCCCAACCCCTCTCTCTCACCCAGGACCTTCTCGCTCACCCAGGCCCCACTCTATTACCCAGGCACCTCTCTCTCTCCCAGGCCCCTCTCTCTCACCTAGGCTCCACTCTCTTACCCAGGCCCCTCTCTCTCACCCAGGCCCCACTCTCTCACCCCGACCCCTCTCTCTCGCCCAGGCCCCACTCTCTCTCACCCAGGCCCCTCTCTCTCGCCCAGGCCCCACTCTCTCTCACCCAGGCCCCTCTGTCTCACCCAGGCCCCACTCTCTCACCCAGGACCCTCTCTCTCACCCCAACCCCTCTCTCTCAACCAGGTCCCCTCTCTCTCTCCCAGGCCCCACTCTCTCACCCCAACCCCTCTCTCTCAACCAGGTCCCCTCTCTCTTACTCAGGCCCCTCTCTATTACCCAGGCCCCTCTCTCTCTCCCAGGCCCCACTCTCCCACCCAGGCTCCACTCTCTCACCCAGGCCCCTCTCTCTCACCTGACCCCTCTCTCTCACCCAGCATCCTCTCTCTCTCCCAGGCCCCACTCTCTCACCCCAACCCCGCTCTCTCACCAAGGCCCCCTCTCTCTCTGACCCAGGCCCCTCTCTATTACCCAGGCCCCACTCTCTCACCCCGACCCCACTCTCTCACCCCGGCTCCACTCTCTCACCCAGGCCCCTCTCTCTCACCTGACTCCTCTCTCTCACCCAGGCCCCTCTCTCTCTCCCAGGCCCCACTCTCTCACCCCAACCCCGCTCTCTCACCCTGGTTTTTGGCTGAGAGCTGATCAGTGGTCCTCTCTTTGTAACGTTTCTGTGTAAAAACATCTGATCAAAAGATGATACAAAGGCCGAAAATACATGCATGTAAAAAACTAACCAAGAAGTGGATTGTTTTTACATAGTCCTTGTTTTTGTGGGTTGAAAGTTACGTACAGCAGCTTGAAACGTTTTTCACCAAGTTCCCTTCTCGGAATCATCTTGTCTGATAAACCTTTTAGTTTCAAACACATAATAAATGTTATCTCAATTTGACCCAGATCTGAAGCTGCTTGAGGACATTCCTATAGATTATTATTCCAAACAAAACTATTTTATCATTTAGACATTTCCGGAGTCTCTGATGTATTGAGT